ATAATATTTTGAGTTATATTTTGAATGATGAAAGAAAGGTGATCCCTGAGTCCTCTACTCAAATAGAAGGACATTTTCTGTATCTGCAAAGACTTCCTGAAGATTTTCCCAAGCCTGTGGGGAGCAGCAGAAGTGAGTTAAGAGAAGCTGTGGGAAGACGACACCGCCAGCCACTTCCAAACACAGAGCAAAGTTCACTCGTTCGTTTTGCAAATATTTTTCGAGCTCCTAATGTGTGTGACACTAGACCAGGCTCTATGGGCACAGGGTGAGCAAAAAGGGCCACATAGTCCCCACTCTACAGGCAGAAGCTGAGTGGGAAAGTCCTTGGAGCCATGCATATGGGGAAAACCACCTGATCAGGGAGGTCCTGCAAGGCTTCCCAGGGGAGATAACAGTTGGGTTGAGATTTGAAGGGCATTCTGGGAGAAATGGGGAGCAAAGAGTGCTCCATGCACAAGAGGAAGTATGGTGAGCATGAGGAACTGAAAAGAGGCCCGCATGGCTGGAGCATAGAGAAGGAGGTGGGGGTGCCCTTTGAGGGGGAGAGAAAGGCAGGAGAGACCACTCAGAGCCTTGGAGAAAAACCAGTGATTGCCAGACGTGTGGGAAATTTCAGCAGCACCTTTTCAAGGCAACAGGAAAAGGGAGGTTAAAGAGCTGCCTTTAGAAGGGAAAATTGGGAGTCAGGACCACTGTAATTATCACTACGCAGCAAGAGGCAACCCAGAGGAATGATTAGGAACATGGACCGAAGAGCGATTATCTGGAACGGAGTCCTGGCTCAACTGTTTACTTGCTGTGTGACCTTGGACAGGTTACTTAACCTCTCTCGGCCTTGATTTCATTATCTGTAGAACACTTTGTAGGTCCATGTGCAGATTAAGTGAATCAATATTGAGAGTTTAGAACAATGCCTGTCTTAAATGCCACATAAGCATTTACTGCATTTACTATCATCATCATCATCATTATCACCTCATTCTTTTTTTTTTTTTTTTTAAAATAAGAGATGAAGTCATGCTATTTTGCTTAGGCTGGAGTGCAGTGGCAAGATCATAGCTCTCTGTAGCCTCGAACTCCTGGGCTCAAGTGATCCTCCCACCTCAACCTCCAGGCATACTACCATGCCTGGCTAACTTTGTAATTTTTTGTAGAGATGGGATTTTGCTATTTTGCTCAAGCTGGTCTTGAACTCCTGGCCTCAAGTGATCCTTCCACCTTGGTGTCCCAAAGTGCTGGGATTACAGGTGTGGGCCACAGCACCCAGTCTCTGTTCTTGATTGGGCAAATAAATGTTACCTTTGGCAGAATCACTTACAGAGGGTAGGTACATTGCACACATGCTATTTAATTTCACAGTAATTTCCTAGAAAAACATATTACTATTTGCATTTTAGAGATAAAAAGTTTGAAAATCAGAAAGGTTAAATATCTCATTAAGCAGTTCACAATGAGTAGAGGCTGGATTCAAACCTAGAAGTGTCTGAATTCAAAGTCTGTGCTCCCTCTCAGCTAAGATCTGCTTGAAGACAAACTATTGACTATTATGAGCTCTATATGGCACCAGCTGACAATTAAGGGGTTCTGGTCATGGGTTTGTTGTAAGAAGCATTTGGCTCTCCCAGATCTCTGCTGATTATAGAGAATGATGGGAGCAGAGAGAATAATGCTATATGCATTTTTAACTTTAATTACAGATGCATTTTTTCCCTTTGTAGGGAAAACTATTCCCAAATACAGGCATACCTCAAAGATATTGTAGGTTTAGTTCCAGACCACTGCAATAAAGCAAATATTGCAACAATGACAGTTATGCAGATTTCCTAGTGCACGTCATAGTTATGTTTATACTACACTGTACAACTGCAGTAGCATTATGTGTAAAAACATGGACATACCTTAATTGAAAATATTTTATTGCTAGAAAATGCCGCTAATCATCAGCCTTCAGCAAGTTGTAATCTTTTTGCTGGTAGAGTGTGTTACCTCACTGATGTCTACTGATTGATCAGGGTGGTGGCTGCTGAAGGTTGGGGTGGTTGTGAAAATTTCTTAAGGTAAAACAACGAAGTTTGCTGCATTGATGAACTCTTTCAGGAAAGATTCATCTGTAGCATGCAATGCTGTTGGATAGCATTTTCCCCACAGTAGAACTTCCAAAATTGGAGGCAAGCCTCTCAAACCCTGCTGTTGCTTTACTGACCAAGTTTATGGAATATTCTCAGTAATTTGTTGTCATTTCCACAGTGTTCACAGCATCTCCACCAGGAGTAGATTCCGTCTCAAGAAGCTACTTTCTTTGCTCAATTCAATTAGACTTTTATCATGAAATTGAAGCAATTCAGTCACATCTTCAGGCTCCACTTCTCATTCTAGTTCTATTACTATTTCCACCACATCTGCAGTGACTTCCTCCACTGAAGTCTTGAATCCTTCAGTCATCCATGAAGGTTGGAATCAACTTCTTCCAAATTCCTGTTAATGTTGGTATTTTGACCTCCTCTCACGAGTTGTGAATGTTTTTAATGGCATTTAGAATGGTGAATCCTTCCCAGAAAGTTTTCAATTTACTTTGCCCAGATCCTCCAGAGGAATCACTGTCTATGGCAGTTACAGCCTTATGAAATGTGTTTCTTAAATAACAAGACTTGAGAGTTGAAATGACTCCTTGATCCATGGGCTGCAGCATGGATGCTGTGTTAGCAGGCAAGAAAACAACATTCATCTCCTTGTACAGTCTCCTTGTGCACCTCTTGAGCTCTCGGGTGACCAGTTGCATTGTCAACATGCAGTAATATTTTGAACAGAATATATTTTTTTCTGAGCAAGTTTCAACAGTGGGCTTAAAATATTCAGTAAACCATGCTGTAAACAGATGTGCCATCATCCGGGCTTTGTTGTTCCATTTCTAGAGCACAGACAGAGTAGATTTAGCATCGTTCTTAATGGCCCTAGGATTTTTGGAATGGTAAATGAGTATTGGCTTTAACTTAATGTCACCAGCTGCATTAACCCTTCACTTAACTTTGAGTCAGCCTCAAAACCCTTTGAAGCTATGAAATCTGTCATTGACTTCACCCTTCTAGCTAAGAAAGATCTAGATGGTATGTTCTTGCAATAATAGAAAGCTGTTTTGTTTACATTGAAAATCTGTTGTTTAGTGTAGCCACCTTTATCAATGATCTCAGCTGCATCTTCTGGATAACTTGCTGCAGCTTCTCCATCAACACTTGGCGCTTCAGAACCTTGCACTTTTATGTTGTGGAGACAACTTCTTTCTCTCAATCTTATGAACCAATTTGGCTCCACATTTCTCTTCTGTAACTTTCTCACCTCTCTCAGCCTTCATAGAGTTGAAGAGAGTTAGGGTCTTGCTCTGGATTAGGCTTTAGCTTAAGGGAATGTCATGGCTGGTTTGATTTATCCAGACCACTCACACTTTCTCCCTATCAGCAACAAGCCTGTCTCACTTTCTTATCATTCCTGTGTGCACTGGAGTAGCACTTTTAATTTCCTTTGAGAACTTTTCCTTTACATTCACTGTTTGGCTGGTGCAAGAGGCCTGCCTAGCTTTCAGCCTGTCTCAGCTTTCAACATGCCTTCCTCACTAAGCTTAATCATTTCTAGCTTTTGATTTCAAGTGAGAGATGTGTGACTCTTCCTTTCACTTGAACACTCAGAGGCCACTGTAGAGTTATTCATTGGCCTACTTTCAATATTCTTGCATCTCACATAAGAGGGAGGCCTGAGGAGAGGGAGAGATGGGAGAATGGCTGGTCAGCAAAACCAAAGACATGCATACAACATTTACAGGTTAAGTTTGTTGCCTTACATAGGCAAAACAATTACAGTAGTAATGTGCAATACCACTAACCATAGGTCACCATAATAGATATTATAATAATGAAAAAGTCTGAAATTGTGAGAATTATCAAAATGTGACCCACAGGCACTAAGTGAGCACATGCTGTTGGAAAAATGATGTCAAGATGCTTGCTTGATGCAGGGTTGCCCCAAACCTTCAATTTGTAAAGAGCGTGCCATCTGCAAAGAGCAATAAGAAACGCACAATAAAACGAGGCATGCTTGTAGCTGAGCAAACAATTGTTTTCTTGGAAGTGTATCTACTTTTTAAAGCTAAATTATGGGCCAGGCACGGTGGCTCATGCCTGTAATCCCAGCACTTTGGGAGGCTGAGAAGGGTGGATCACCTGAGGTCAGTAGACCAAGACCAGCCTGGCCAACAGGTTTTAGTAGTGAAACCCCGTCTCTACTAAAAATACAAAAATTAGCTGAGTATGGTGGCGTATGCCTGTAATCCCAGCTACTTGGGAGGCTGAGGCAGGAGAATCGCTTGAACCTGAGAGGTGGAGGCTGCAGTGAGCTGAGATCATGCCACTGTACTCCAGCCTCGATGACAGAGTGAGACTCTGTCTCAAATAAAATAAAATGACAATAAATAAATAAAGTATGCACGACACAGAAGATATGCCCTTAGCTGACTTGGAACTCTATGGAGCTCTGAAAGTGAAGTATAGTGTGCATGTGGTGCCGCCCGTTGTGATTTATGATGGAAATAGAGGAGTAGGGAAGTGCATTTGCTATGCCTCCCTAGAGGCTTCAGAATCATTCTGTGGGTAGAGGAGCAGCTTCTGGAGATAATAGAATTGTCCTCCAGCTGCTCACACTTCACCCAGTCTGTGGCCAGATGTAAAAGGCTGGAGAACTTGTTTCCAGGATCAGAGACGAGGAGATGCAAGAGGCTCCTGTAAGCAAAGCAATGAACTATGGTATAACCCAGTTTGTGAAAGAAGATGCCTCTGAAGAACGAGTGGAGGTCAACTTAAAAATCAGCAGAATGCAATGGACTCTCATTTCCCCACTGATTACCTTCACTGTGGCCAGTGTATAAGCTGGGCTGTTTGTTCCTGGTAAATGTCCCTGATTCTGTCCCGAAGCTTTGGCCCAATCAGGAGCCTGAGCTGCGCACTTTTCATCTCCCAAGGCTGCAGCAAGATCAGGGAAGCATACCTTTGCAAATAAGACATGCACCTTGTCAAATGGAAATGCTTTCCTTGGCAGTGAGTGAAGCACTTTCATGATAACAATTTGGAATCCTGGAAAAAAATCTGGACTTCGAAATGGAAAATGAGCTCTGCACTTTGCTGCTTTTGGGACCCCACCTCCTCGTCTCCAAATGCGGATGTTATGCTAAGTTGCCGGAGTGGCAGCTGTCTGTCTAGGGTTGTCTTCCTCTCTGTGGTTGCCACAGTGCACTGAACATTGGCCTCTCATTTTAAAACTCCCAGTTCTTTCTATCCTAAGGCAATTATAGTACTATGTTTAACCTAAAAATTAGGATTTATATCATAGTATGACAGTTGTGGTCAACATTCTTTATTTCAACAACTTTTTGATTTTATTAACTTTATTTCTTTCAACAACTTTCCATTTAGCTATGTTGTTAGAAAAACGTATGGAATACCGAAGGAAGTTATAGGACAAGAAATACGTACTTGGAAAGATAATTTTTGTCTCCTAAGAGATTGCCCCCAGTGTGGAGGGTTGTGTGGTATACCTTATTTAGCTGTGTGAGGTTGGTGTTTTTGAAGGGCTCCCCATAAATGCCATTCTCAACTCTGCTGGGGATCTAAAGAATTTGAAAATTTAAACTAGGAGAGACAGATGGGGCAAAATATCAAGTTAAAAAGAGCAAAGTTGGAGAATGTGGCCTTAGGGCTGACAGCCAAGCGTGCTTGTGAATACTGAGCCCAGAGGCAGGCCCCTCTTCACTACCAAGCAGCACAGCGCTGGCCTTCCCCACAAAGCTTAATCACTTCTAGCTTTTGATTTAAAGTGAGACATGTGCAACTCTTCCTTTTACTTGAACACTTAGAAGCCAATATAAGGTTCTTCACTGGCCCAGTTTCAATATTGTTGTGTCTCAGGGATCAGGGAGGCCACGTGTGGGGGTGGGTGTGCTGGTTTGCTACAGGTGCCATAATAAAGTACCACAAATTAGATGGCTTGAAGCAATAGGAATTTGTTGTCTCATAGTTCTGAAGGCTAGAAGTACAAGATTAAGGTGTTGGTAGGGTCTTCTTCCCCTCCAAACCCCAAAAGTGGGAGTCCTTCCTTATCTCTTCCTAGCTTTTGGTGGAGCTGTCAATCCTTGGCTTGTGGCTGCATCACTTAGATCTCCACTTCTGCACTTTCATGGCCTTCTCCCTGTTTATCTTGGTGTGTGTCCAGTTTTTTTTTTTCTTCTTCTCCTTCTTCTTTTTTGCGATGGAGTCTTGCTTTGTCACCCAGGCTGGAGTGCAGTGACATGATCTCGGCTCACTGCAACTTCCACCTCCCAGGTTCAAGCATTTCACCTGCCTCAGCCTCCTGAGTAGCTGGGATTACAGGCATGCATCAACATGCCTGGTTAATTTTTCTATTTTTAGTAGCAATGGGGTTTCACCATGTTGGCCAGGCTGGTCTCTAACTCTTGACTTCAGGTGATCTGCCCACCTCAGCCTCCCAAAGTGCTGGGATTACAGCTGTGAGTCACTGTGGCTGGCCAAATTTTCTTCTTATAACAACACTATTCATGTTGGATTTAGAGCCTGCACTTATGACTTCAACTTAACAATTTCATCTACAAAGACCTCTATTTACAAATAAGGTCACATTTTGAGGTCCAGGTGTGTCCCGAGTGTGTTCCTTCTGGTGGGTTCATGGTCTCACTGACTTCAGGAATGAAACCACAGACCTTTGCAGTAAGTGTTACAGCTCTTAAAGGTGGCGTGGACCCAAAGAGTGAGCAACAGCAAGATTTTTTGTGGAGAGCAAAAGAACAAAGATTCCACAGCATGGAAGGAGACCCAAGCAGGTTACTGCTGCTGGCTGAGGTGACAAGCTTTTACTACCTTATTTGACCCTGACCACATCCTGCTGGTTGGTCCATTTTACAAAGTGCTGGTTGGTCCATTTTACAGAGTGCTGATTGGTTCATTTTACAGAGTGCTGATTGGTCCATTTTACAAACCTCTAGCTAGCCACAGAACACCGATTGGTGCATTTTACAATCCTAACTACAGAGTGCTGATTGATGCATTTTACAATCCTCTTGTAAGACAGAAAAGTTCTCCAAGTCCCCACTTGACCCAGGAAGTCCAGCTGGCTTCATCTCTCACTGGGATTTGGACTTCAATATGTCTATTGGGTGGTGGGGCAGGGACACAATTCACCTCACAACTGTGAGACTTAGTGCAACTCACAGCACTGGTCACAGAGAACACCGGCTCTCTGAGCACAGCTTTTTCCCTAAGGCAAAGAGTCATGCATATGGAGTTATTTACTTCAAAGATAGGAGGAGAACTCAATGAAATTGAGAAAAAAGAACAATACAAATGAGGAACAAAATGAAACAGATGAAGAAAATTGATGGATTCCTAGCTTGACTATGAAGAGAAAATGTCCAAATAAACATAAGCAGAAATTCAAAAGGAGATATTACAAATGTTACCACAGAAATGCAACAGATCATCAGAGACTACTAGAAACAACAATATGCCCACAAACTAGAAAACATAGAGGAAGTGGATAAATTCCTGGAAACATACAACTTCCCAACATTAAACCAGGAAGAAATAGAAATCCTGAAGAGACCGGTAACAAATAGTGAGCTTGAATCAATAAAAAGTCTCCCAGCAACAACAAAAAGCCCAAGAGCAGATGAGTTTACAGCCAAATTCTACCAAACATACAAAGAAGAACTGGTACCAATCCTCCCGAAACTCTACCTCAGATTTCACCATCAGTTAAATGTACCATTTTTCATAGGTACCAAGTGAGCAAAGACTTACAGAGAAGTGAGGAGTGTCAGCCAGTGGAGGTCCATCTTCTGCAGTGAAAATTAGTAAGAAAGAAGAATCGTACTCCCTGCTATGAGCTGAAAATTTATGCCCTCCCAAAATTAATACATTGCCTAGTCTTCCATGCAATAGTATTAAGAGGTGCAGCCTTTGGGAGGGGATTAGGTCATAAGGGTTCCACGCTCATGAATGGAATCAATGCCTTTATAAGAGAAGCTTTAGGAAACCTGTTTGCCCCTTCTGGCATGTGAGGACATAGCAAGAAGGTGCCATCTATGAAGCAAGAAACCCTTGTCAAACACAGAATCTGCTGATGCTTTGATCTTGGACTTCCCAGCCTCCAGAACTGTGAACAATAAATTTCTGTTATGTATTGTCCTGTCTAAGGTATTTAGCTATAGCAGCTGGAATGGACTAAGACACCTCCCATTATTCAATTTTAGTATCCATTGAACATTCAGTTTAACACATTAATGAAAGCTCATTTTCAGGGCATTGCCTTTGTCATGAACTTTAGAAGTATAGTTTCTTTTTTGTGGGGATGCTTTGCATTTTGCTTGCAACTCATATTCCTAGAGAAAAGAGAACACTATTTCCCTGGCCATCCCAGCACATGTTCTGGACAAACTTCTCAACCTCCTGTTTCTAGTATCGGAAGTCCTCCAGGGAATGCCCTCTGGTGGGCGTCTCATTTTGACTTCCACCTGGGCTCCGTCTTACAACATCTCCTTAATTCTACGCAGAACCACCTTGATCAGATTCCTCTATAACACTACTTAATAGTTTTCCATTCAAGTTATCCTCATAAGCATTAAAAAACCAAACTCTCTGGAATTGTTCTGAACTTCTAATTCTCTAAGCCTCCATTCTAGGGTTAGAGAATATGAGAATCTGTTTTGGGGAGGCTTGGGGTGGCTACTTCCTACAAAATTAACAAGTCTGATGAAGACGATGGTGTGACTCTTTATTTTATTATAGTTCAGTTGGCATCAGTGAAGGCAGGAGCCATGAATCCACTGCACGGGGCTCATGAAATGTGCCTGGCTGCTTCAGATTTTTCTTTGGAGCTCACAACTCATAAGTGTTCTCCTGGGTTAGTGATAGGAGATTCTTCATCTGTCCTGGGAGAAGAAAGATTGAATTGGGGACAGGGATTTGGATTTTTAATTCTTTGGCTTGAAGTCAAATTTTGGTGCAAATACATTACATGAAAGAGGTAATGTTATGAAAAATTATCTATTATTAATAGGTAGACATGAATTTGTTTCCAAAATGAGACCCATGGACTCTGGAGCTGGGAGAAAGAACCAGATAACTGGTAAGCATGGGTCCTGCCAGGTGGGGCAGACCTGTGGAAGTCCCTGTTCGTTGGGAGGAGGCATTAGGAGAGCTCTGAGAGATGAAGAGGGTGTGACAAAACGAAGGAGAGCGAAAAAGAGAGGCAGAGGAAACACAAAACCAAATGTTTCCTCTATTAAAATGTTTGCTTCGGTCAGGCACTGTGACTTATGCCTGCAATCCCTGCACTTTGGAAGGCTGAGAAGAGAGGGTCACTTGAAGCCAGGAGTTTGAGACAAGCCTGGGCAACATAGCGAGACCCCTGTCTACAAAAAACTTAAAAAATTATCCAGGTGTGGTGGCACACACCTGTAGTCCTAGCTACTCAGGAGGCTGAGGTGGGAGCATTACTTGAGCCTAGGAGGTTGAGGCTGCAGTGAGCCATGATCATGCCACTGCACTCCAGCCTGAGTGACAGAGCAAGACACTGTCAAAAAAAAAAAAAAAAAAAAAAGAAGCATGCTTGAACAAACCCTGTGAGAAACAATTATATAGTCTTAACTGGGTCAATATTTGTATGAATGAAGAATGCTTGTGTGTTTGCAGAAAGGGGAGACAAAGAAAGTCAGCCTTTGTTTTAACTTCCTGTGATGCCAATCAGGTGAGGTGGAACTCGGGGTGTCAAGGCAGACTGATTCTTATTTGCAGGGGTGTTTCATTTTGCACAATATGAATAGTGCAAATATTCATTGCACAATAGTTCACATACTCTTCTCAATAAAAACTAATTTTTTAATTACTTTGGGAGACATTCAAATAAATGTTACGGTGAGTGGAGTTTTGATGAAGCACACACGCTTTTGTCATTGCATTGCAGTTAAGTGAAAAATCACTTTCCGGCTTCTGCTCCACAAATCTTGACTGCCTGAGGTCTGGTGTGCTGAGTGAGTCCACCTGCATGGACCCCTATTGTGCATGGTGAACGTGCTGTGCGCAGTCAGCCCAAGTTCTAGTTCGGCAGGTCAGAGTCATCTGAAACAGCTCTTGAGTTTCTCATACAATCTGAGCTAACTGC